ATTAGGAATTATTATTATTATTATTACCAATACAGTAGACAATGATAAATGTAAACTTGAAGGTATACATACAAGCACACATACACGAACACATAAACACATACACAGTAATAAACAGTTAAAATCTATTCATGATCTATATCACTTTTATTTTACATTCCATTGACAATATCAATTTAATAATAATAATAATGATTATATGGTCATTGATGTTCCATAAAAAGTGATTTTATTCAAACAAATCATATGGATCTTATAAATATTGGCAACACCACCATCACCATCACCACCACCACCACCACCAACAACAACAACAGCAACAACGATAACAGCAATCAAAATGCAAAAAAACAAGGCTAATACAAACAAATAATAAGGATAATAATAAGTAAAAAAAAAAGTGAAATGTCCTTAATCAGAGATTGTTGTTTTCTTTTCTGTTTTTTTTGTATAGAATTTGTAAAATAAATGGATATGCAATTGATTTAGTTTAATGGAATAAATGTACAAGTATCTGACTAATGAGAATGATCATCAGAAACGAGAAGAAAAGAAAAAGGAACAAGAAAATTTAATTGGTTGAAGTTAGAAATTAACACCGTTGGATGCCGGCTCAGTGGTCTAATGGTTAGGTGCTCACGTGCGAAGCCAGTAGGTCCTGGGTTCGAGCCCCGCATGGTGCGGGATCGTGGATGCGTACTGCTTAGGAGTCCCATACTAGGACGAACCGGCAGTCCAGTCCTTCCAGGTTTTCAATGGTGATCTAGCTTCAACTGACTCATGATTTCAATCTGTGAAAATTTCTAAAATCTCCACAAACCCCTTCTGATAATAATCATCTGCTCACTAGTGACTGACTTCAAGAGATACTCCTGGAGTTCTAGTGGGAAGCCGTTACCAGTGGAGTTCAACCAGGTCTGTTGTGAGATATCAGCTCACTGAAGACAATGGTGTATGGTGGCGCAACTTCGTGGATTGGTTGAAGTTAAACGTTAACACCGTTGGATGCCGGCTCAGTGGTCTAATGGTTAAGTGCTCGCGCGCGAAGCCAGTAAAATTTAATTCATCTGAATGGAAGATTTAGAGAAATGTTACGTTTTTTTGTTTTGAGAAGAGTTTACAGTGAGATTATTATTTATAGATGAACCATTTAGATATAAAATAACAGATTTTTGGATTTTGGCGCGAAATTCACTTGTTCATTTGGATAAATAGAGTGTTGACATTATAATTGATGTTGCTTTTCGTGATAAAAACCTTAGATCTAACTCATTAACTGTAAATCATAATTGTAATTCCTCACATAGATTTATAACCCTTATTTAGTTTTGGGTATGAAGTGGACACTCTCAAGGTTAGTCCTAGGTCTCTCAAAGATTGTCCATTAATGATAGTCTCACCGAGTTTACAATACAGAGATTGATCATTGAAACAGAATTTTCAATCTTATATGTGATGACATAGAAGTATATACACGTGAGTTCTCTCAGTAATTAAATCTAGAACATTCAAAATGTATACAGATTGAGTTAACTATGAATTACTGCATTGTGATACAATGATCTATTGATGTTCAATATACCATAGCTTTAATTATTTCTTAATCAGACTGTGCTCACAGTATATACTGTGTTTAAAAACTAGTTTCATTTTGACTTAACATTTATAATAACTTCTATATTCTTAGGCCCTATTAATTATCATATGACTAAGTCACCAATTACAACACCGACTTATACGACTATGGCAATATGTCAAACCAATAATGCGTTAATCGGTACGAGCAGCTTAGAATTAACTTTGAGTTCTTATTGGTCTTTCTTGCCTAGCCTTATCTGTTTAATGTCAGAACACAATCTCAACTTCCACTGTATGAGTTATGTATTTCAGACATACTCAGTTTATATACAAGAAAACTCAGCGTCATCACAGTATAAAATAGAAAGTAATAGTTATAGACAAGATCAGGCCAAAGTGGCTGTGAGTGTGAGATACTGTAACTACTTGATTGGGGATAAATTAAGGATGGTAATTTGTATTATAGTAAACAATAGGTCAAATGAAAGCTTATGGTAAAAGCAATAAGAATATATATATGTTCGGGAGCTCAAGTTTGTGATCATATCAAGGCTTACAACCTGTTCGTCGGATCATCAATAGAATGTTGATGAATATGAACTGGTAATGAAAACTTTCTAATTCAGACACGTGATTTTAAGAAATAAATATTGAAATTCATGTTTTGTAGGAAATATGTTTTGATTTATTTTAGAGACTCGCCTAAACACATGCTCCATAGAGCTCAATGGTTTTCGGTTTTATTCAGTGACAAAGGTATCATTAAGCTTAGTCAGTCAGTCAGCTACGACATAGGACCAGGCACATCAATTCAAGTTGCCACACCTCATTAGCACAACATGATGAACACCCAATTCATAGAAGTGGTTAATTCAGTGGTAGTAATATATAAAAGAAACATTATGTATAAGAATATATATAGTACAGGACGAAAGAATTAGTCCGTAGAAAGAAAGATCATTAATCTACACACATTCTCTAATTCAACTGATCCGGGTTATGCAGTAATACTTATTCATTGTCATCAGTACGTTGCTATCTCACTTTTGACTTCAATGACCTTATCCGTAACATCTATTTTCTAGAACTTAAAAAATCTAGCCTCAAGCTAGTCTTCTGTAATGAGAAAATGAGTATAAAGTTAATTGTTTTAAAAGAGATATTATATATGTAAAGTTATTTTAATAACTGAAATTAAATCTGTCGAATAGTTAATAAAATTCCATTAAGTGTTAGTTAACTGTTTTAACATTGCTCGAGTATAACTAAAAAATCAGCTAACACGTTAGACATTAACACTATTAGATGCCAACTCACTGAACTTGAGATTAAACATTGACGTGCGAGACCGAAGGTTCTGTGTTCGAATCCCGAGAGCGGGATCATAGATAAGTCGCGTACCAGGACGAAAATGAATAAAATAGTTATTCTCATCAATTTATGATTTATATCGAAAAATTTTTACAATTGTCTTGATAACTTTATAATCCAAGTTGGTGACATTTTAGTTAACCATCCTAATGCTCAATGAAACAAAATAAGGGTTTAAATAGTTGTGTTAATGCACTATTTTACTCACACATGTATGTAGATATCGGTTAGTGACTAGAATTAATCTGACAACTATTTTACATCTGAATGTAATATTCTTCATCAGTTGTGTACGCCGTCCACCACATACAGGACAAAGCTTTGGAAATTCCTATTCGACGGTTCGAGTAATATTTATGGAGTTAGAATTCAATGTTTCATGTGTTTTTATACAGTCAAGTTAATTTCTGAGAAGGAATCTGAGTATTATTGATAAAATAATAATAATCTCATTAAAACTACGATACAATTGTAATTAGACAATGTTGAAAACATGGATGGTACTGGATATCCATTTCACTTTAATATGGGACTCCTCAGCAGTGAACATCCACGACCCCACAACTGAGAATTGCTTTATAATTTCAATGACATTCAACAATCACCACAAGGCATATTGACAGTAGCAATTACTTACTGAATGATGTTTCTGGAATTACCTCTTGTTCGAAATTCGTTCATAATTTATACGCTTTGCAATATATAGAATAATATGAATTATACAGTATTATATTTTATTGTAGTATGTATCATCAATTGAAAATGAAATGCCTAGCATCAGAATGTCAAGAAGATCGAAGTGAAAAGAATGAGAAAAACAGTGATTGGTGTAGAAACAAAAGAACAATCAAATCTGATACATTTTTTCAAATGAAAGATTTACGAGGTAAATCATATCGATACGGGCATTCAATGAGAAAACCTAAATCTTCAGTCATTAAATCTAGTACCGACCAGTGATCAGGAACTTGAACGTTTCAAATCAAACCTAGTTAACTGCTTCCATCAGTTTAAGAATAGTAGATATAACTACAGAAGTATTTTAGCTAAAAAAATGAAGGGCTCACTGTATGATTCGCAGATTTTATTAAGTGATTCTGTGTCCGAATACGTTTGGTTGTCCCTACTATTGTTCTCATTCACTACAATATACTATTAAAGCTAACTGAACATAAATATCAAGTGAATATTTACACAACTCAATACAAGATTATGGTTAGGGGAAGTTTCAAATATAAATTCTTATCGGACATATCAAGCAGGATAGCTAATATAGTGAACTATTGTTATATACTACTTATATGGATATAAGTAACCCACCCCACTATTATATCATTTAAGTAATCTCATTTAGAAGGGAATATTGTATAGTGAAAATTTTCAGCTATAGAAACCATCTTATCATCATTTATATTCTGTTTCTACGTCAACAACCAAAAGCTATTTATTTTTTTAGATACAACTTGTTTATATTTCATCATTATATCAATCGAATAAGTAAATAAAACAATGTATCACATGACTTTTGGGATTCGAATACTGAACTCATAATAATGAACCATAAAAGATTGTATGTTGTTTCAATAGTCCATGTACATTTAAGAACATTATTATTATTACTGTCATTATTATTATTTGCAGAGGTCCCTCGTTTCGAGTATAAGTGATAAGCGCTTCTGATAAAACAATCAGCGACGACCAGATATAGAAAGAAGAATTAAACGAAAAGACATATCAGTGACGATGGGATGGAAAAATAGTCAAGAAAATCAGTATACAGAATTCTCGTCGGTGTTCTTGAACGACATTGATTATCGATTAGTCATGCAGTATATTTCATTACTGTGCTGATTCAGAAAATGGCTATCTCTTCCGTTCAATTACAGCGAAGACCAGATATAACAAGAAGCAATAAACGACAGGACATATTATTATTATTATTGCTACTATTGTTACTAACCACACTCAATAATAGTAATAATAATAATAATAATAATAATAATAATAATATCTCTTGCATAAACAAATGGAAAGGATTTAACATATAAAGAGGATTTTGGCTTTCTTTTTATTCTTCCGTATATATCTGCATATACAATCATAACAATGCATTTATTGTATTAACATTACCGTTACCTTTTTCTCGTTACAACCATATACTACTAGATGATTGGAATTGTTCAGTTAGCATTATATTGTAAACAATATAAGTAATATAAGTAGTATCAACAGAAATGATCATTTAAATGAACAATTTTTTTTGTTTAAAAAGGTTATTATAAAAAAGAAATATGATTGATTTCAGCAACAAAAGAAATTGTAGATCATCTTTGCTTTACTGATGAAAATGTTAATCAAGATGATGATGATGATGATGACGAGGATGATGAAGAAGTAGTAGTAGTAGGAGGAGGAGGAGGAAGAGGAGGATTGAAAACATGAAATAGAAAACATACAACAGGCAATTAGTAATGATGTCTATAAGATTGCATCATAAAATTTTTATCCACTGTTTAATTGAACAATGAATTATTCATTCAACGTTTATTTATTTTCAATGAATTAAATGGATGTATCAATTGTATTATTCATAGTTGATGTGGATGTTGTCATCACTTCTCTAATTGAATTATTATTCTCTATATTATTACTTATTTTATCTAATAAACGTGAAAGCATAAATGTTGGTTTTTTTAATTCTAATGAATTTGTTTTATTTAATAATAATTGCTGTTGTCGTCGTTGGTGGTGGTGATGTTCTTGTTGTTGTTGTTGGTGGTGGTGGTGTTCTTGTTGTTGTTCACAATTGTAACTATAGTTACCATGATTTGTATTCATTACATTAGTAGGTTTTGAAATTGTCATACATGAGTTACTTTCTATACTTTTCAATGTGTTCAATCCATCAGTAGTATGTTCAATATATTGATCCGTGAATATATTACTTAAATTATTCAATAAATGAATTGTTTTTTGATCATCACATATTGGAAATGAAGGTAATAGAGATTGATTAATTAATGATCCATTTAATAAAGAATAATGTGATAATCCATGAGTTGTACCATAAAGTTGATAAGTAATATCTAAATTTGTAAAGAGAGAAAGAGAAAAAAGAAAGAACTAGAAACATTATTGATATCAATATCAAGATTTGACTAGATAATTTTAAATAAACTAATCAATAGGTATTCACTTGGTATTGTTTACTTGTATCATCCCATTGTTATTTAGGACTGCATCAGTACTGGGTTCGAGTCCCAAATAGGATGAAACGCGCATCCTGGATTCCACAGCTAGTTATCATCCATTTTTGTTTATTAAGCTTGGGACTTAAAGCAATATCGATGCAATCCGCATAGGATGCACATATATCAACAACAGACTGATCAATCGTAGTTCTAAACATCAATGGAAAGATACAAGTAAACATCACAAAGTGAATGTAGCTTCACCCCATTGCACAAGCAAGTGGTTATCAGGACTCAGTAGCTAAGTGGATAACGTGATGACGTTTGAAGCGAATGATACTGGGTTCGAGTCCCAGAGTGAACATCAACTCTGAGATGCAGATACATCCAGTTGACGAGTCTTAAATAGGATGAAACGTGCATCGTGGATTCCACTACTAACTACTATCCATCTTCGCTTATTAATCACTGGGTGGATTGTTTATTTATTCTTTGAATAACTGGCTTATATAAATATAATCAATTTTTTATTACTCTGAGTATTTCGTTGCCAAGCCTACAAACAACAATAATAATCAATATGATAATTGTATGGAAAATTATAAACTATATTGAATGATTCAAATTAGTTCAAAGTTAGATGTTATCTTACTTAGTAAAGGAAAATTATTCAGCTGATCACACACACACACACAAATATGATTTCTTTTCGCAATCCAAATAAGCAGTACATCTCCAAAACTGTTAAGTGTACATGCCTATACAAACATACTAGAAATAATTGGGGAATTCTTCTTTGTCTGATTACATCTGTAAGGTCTAGGTAATACTGATGTTGAATGAAAGTCAGAGTGTCATATGTCACTTTTGAGATAATCTATGGTTTATATGATTGTTAATTCAACTGTAAATGATTGAATATACAATGTGTTTATGAGAGTAATTCAATTTTACACTTGTGAAATCTGATGTCTTCCAATAGATGTTATGACCTGGTATATAGTTGTATTGTAAAAATTCATATATTATTCTATCCAGTTCAATAGCTTGGTTCATAATAAACTTTCAATGATATTCTCATCATCATGGTATTGAATGAAGTGACTATTATAACTATTATAAATTATTATTATTATTATTAGTATTGAAAATAAACTGTCAGACCTTATGAAGACTACAATACCATTAGACAGTTGAGCTTCAACTCAATAGTTTATATGTTTAACTTCAGTTAATTTATTTTATACCTCGACGATTATCGATTATCGTCGTTGATAGATGTACCATTTGAGATATGGTTGTACTTTATTCGTTATGGCTTCCCACGATGATTGTCTATTAGAATCAGTCTGAGAAGCAAAATATTCTCAAATTGAACAATCACTTCAAATCTCTCAACCGTTTGAAATACAAAATATTTTAATCAATCTAATGTGCATGAGTTTTAGGTTTACTTTGTAAAACAAAGTAAGGAGGAGCAGTTATGTTGTTTAAGGGGTTTCACTTATAAAATTTGTTAGTTTATAGCAGTTATATAACATGCCCTTGTGGGCCAAGGTAATTTTACATTGGTTTTCAGGAGAACCAGACATCATCCAGACTTTCATGTGACAACCCAAACAGTACAGCGCAATCCCGTCTAACAAGAGAGACAGACACCGCTCAGGCCTAAATTTTATAACTTGAGCAGTACAGCTCAATCCCGATTCATTGGAGAACCAGACACCGTGTAGGCTTTTATACTACAATCTGAATAGTACAGCTCAATCCTGTGGCGCAACCACATAGGTACCAAACACCCTAGTGAACCATGGTTTATAGCAAGTGGAATTATAAAAGTTAGTATTATCAATTTGGTGTTTTCAATGCTGAAGTATAGTAATTTGATGGCAACATATTTAAAAAAAAAACGGTGTTTGTTTCTCCAGAGTTATAAAATAGTTTTCAAGGCTGTACAAAACAGCATTAAGCTTACATCTGAAGCTTGCTATTGATTGCTTTCAAAAAACTCCATTATGATATCATCGATTCACTTAGATTTGTGACTAAATTATAAACTTTATCGTTATAATCTTGCCACCACGTAAAAACTGATCGCTGATCGTTGAGTTTTGATTAAGATCATGAACTGATCAATCACAACCCTATACTAGTAATTATCATTTGCTCACTAGTAACTTGATGTAAGAGATAATTCTAGTGAGAAGTCGTGAGAAGCGAAGCTAATCCGTGTCGGGTGTGAAGCAGTTACTAACCGAAAACAGTGGAGGATGGTCGTGTGATGTCGTAGATTAACTAAGGTTAAACATTAACACCGTTGGATGCTGACTCAGTAGTTTAGAGGTCAAGAGGTTGCGTGCCAAAATGAACGTCCTGGGTTCGAATCTCACGTGACGGGCCGTGGATGGGTACTGCTGAGAAGTCTCTTACGGAACGAAAAGGCCGTTCAATGCTTCCAGGTTTTCAATAGTGGCTTGATTTAGATCAGTTCACAATTTCAATGAAATTCAACAATCTCCACAACCCTATACAGACGTATATTACTGTATTTGATAACTCCTAGTAGGACCAAAAATAACACAATTCTTAAAATTTTCAACTTCTCTTTGAATCTTTTTAGTTAGAGATATTCGGTTACCTGCAATTTAACCTTAGTTTTTAGATGTTTGTTGATATGGCAAAAAACTGTTCTATGTTCACATCATCTGGACAAATAATAAAGACAAAAGAGGATTAAACGACTACCTTATTCAAGTCTATAAGTTTGTTACTGTACATAAATATTTACAGCCTGTTCATTACAACATGATATTAATAGATTTTACAGTTAACTAGAGATTTTGATTGAAAATACTTTCAGATAACAGGAGATTGTATAATTTATATAACGAATTAGTTTTATTTAGATAACCATTGAAAACAAGGAAGCCATGGATATCTGTTTCATCTTAGTATGAGATTCTTGAGCAATTCTCAAACACTACTCAATGGAGCGTTAAATGTAGGATCTTCAGGTCTTACGATGAGCTCATCACCTTTAGACCAATGAGTTAATATTCAATGGTTAACATGTTTAACTTCAATTAGTTCATTCAGGTGGAGTCATGGATACTCATTGATAAGGAGTTTCATACCCGGACAAAACAGATGCCTAATGCTTACTGATCTTCACTGGCTCTCTAACTAAGATTAATTCATCATGTAAATAATTAAACCCATTAAATTATTATTGAATCTCATTCGAAGTTATCTAAATTAAAGATGAACATCAATGAACTTGGATCGTTTAGAAAGTTAACAATCATATGAAGGGAAATCACTTGTTTTAACCCTAATATAGAGAATTTCAATAATCAAATTATACTAACCTAAATAAAATTCATTTAAGCAAGAAAAGTATAATCGGTTTTGTGAGAGGTCTATCCTCCTCCGAAACAGATAACAGATATAAGCAAGTAAATATGTAATTAATGCAGAATCAGAGGAGTAACAGTATAATTAATAATTAGGAGAGTTATTAAATCAAATGATAATACAAAATTCAACACTCTGAAACCAACCAACACTAAAAAAACATCATCGCATTACTGTGGATTAATTCTGAAGGGCGATTCCATGAGTCCTAATAAGAAGATGTGATCAGTGGAGATACTCCACATCAGTACTGAAGGAGTTGTTCACCAACAACATCGGATGACAGTTGACAAGTATAGTGAGTTGACCAGAGTTAAATACATCGACCTTTTCATGGAAACATACTTATCTCAAGACCATGTTGTCAACATATATTTTGAGATCATGGGTTCGATACCTGATGATATTGTGGATGAACAATTCCAAGCACTTCTATACCAAGACAAAATGACAGAGCATTCTTCATCTGTACTCAATGTTAGTCTTGTTGTTATCAGTCCATGATACAATTTGCGAAATCCAAAAACATTTCTACAACATACAGTTTAATGAAAGTGAATTTCAACTAACCCTGTAGAACCATTTCTATTAGCCAACGTTCTATTCATTTACGTCCATTATCGTAAACACTTTCTAGTATGGTTCAGTAAATGTGGATTTAGGTCGATTGACAGATCTATTTTAGATCATTTTATACAAGTATTCCATAAACTCAACATTATTCAACCATTTCTAATGGTCATTATAGTCAGTAATTTTTCAAAAGCATTCAAAATCAAAATAACAAAAGTCATGAAAATTCAGAAACCAAAGTTCGTCATTTCACATGAAGTTGATTCCGAATCTTTTTCTTTTAATCTTAATCAACTTCCTTCACAACATAACTTAAATGAATGAATGTTGTATATACGCTTCTCTGTATTCTCATGAAATTGCCAAATTCAATTTGTTATTAGCTTACGTGTTTGTATATTGTAAATGTTTTCCCAACTACATACATAATACACAAGATTGATGTTCACTACGGGACTCGAACCCACTATTGTTCACTACAAACACCATCATTTTTTCACTTACATATTGAGTTGTGATAGTCAACTGCTTGTGCATGAAGTTGTGGATGAAGTTGAAATTCATTTGATATCGTTTGCTTGTATCTTCTCATTGTTGTTTAGGAGTGTAATTGATCAGTCTCTTATTGTTATACATGCATTCTATGTAGAATGTCTCGAAATCACTCTCATTCACAAGCATTATAAATAAAAAGATGGATGGTAGCCAGCAGTGGAATCCACAACGCACATTTCATCTCAGAAAGCTTGTGACTTAAAGTAATATTGAGGCAACACGCATAGTATGTAAATATGCCAATAACAGACTGATCAATCGCAATCCTAAACATCAATACAATGATTCGAACAAACAATACGAAGTGAATGTGAGCAATAACAATTCAATAATTAAATCATCCAAATGAATGT